CAGCGCGTCTAAACTGAGAGAAACTGCCTGAAGCTGCAGCGCGTCTTTACTGCTGATCACCAGCACTGAAAGCACAGCACACTCAGCGCCACATTCTGCACAAACCACACCAGAGTCACTCTTACCCCCTCATGATACACTTTATTCGCTCGCTTCATCTTGATATCCAGCGACACGCTCATCTTTTGTTCATTCGCTTCCGCGTCGCCGTCATATGATCGCTGACGTCACGCGACCGCGGCGCCTGATAGCGACTGAGAAATCGATCACCGATTCGCGCGTCGTATATCGACGACGAGCAGCGCTGCGGGGCGAGTTTAGCGCGCGAGCGGGGCTGCAGCGCGCGCGCCATTTTGTCCAGGGGACGCGGCGGCGCGCGCGCAGGATGAGTGACTGACGGACGCGGGACTGCTGCGCTGCGGAGCGCGCCGACGCTCACCGAGAGGCGCTGTTCTTTTCTCCACGAAGCTTTGCATCGGACATACTTTGGAAAGGATTCCCGAGGAAGGCGGTTGGGAATTACTGCTGATTCTCCCGAGGATTTCCATTCCTCTCGTCAGAAAGAGGCTCGCGGCACGGTGAGTGATGACGGCTAGCGCCGCGGCTAACGGTTAGCAGCCCTCAGCGATCCCGACGCCGCGCACCGGAGGCTCGGATCCGCTCCGCTCGCTGCGTCCGAGTTGAGGCTCGATGCGACGCGTTTTGTGCTTTTTCGAAAGCGCAACGCGACTGCGGGGCTGTTTTCGCGCTCGCTTCGCTCAGGCTTCGGTCCGCGCACAGGCCCGGGCTGCTAATGTCCAGCTAGCCTCGGCATCGACAGCTCAGATGATCGGCTCGTTTAGCGCTCAACATCGCGACTCCTGACGGACCGCCGCGTAACTGTCGCTCTCCGCGCGCTTCATTGTCGTGCGGCCGTTAGCTGGCTAGGCTAGCGGTGTTTTGACAGCTGATTTACAGCAAACTCGCATTCGCGCGGGAGTCGGCGGTCAGTAGCAGGCGAACAACCTTGACTGGCGCCCGAGCTCCTGACACGAGATGCTGCTGCTGATGATGATGATGAGGAGGAGGAGGAGGAAGAGCTCTTCATCGTGTTTCTGTTGTGTTGTGATCAGAAACACGCCGTGATTGTGATCTGATGTGTGTTTGTGTGTTGATAAGCTGCTCTAAACTGGACTGATTTCACCGCAGATCTTCACCAATGGTTGTGCTAGTTGAAGATCAACTCAACCATCTCAGAAAACGGCAAGACCCTGCTGAGACATCAGGGCTGTTCTCACCTGGAAACCACTCGCGAGTCGCTTCAGGTAACCTCTCACTCACTCTCACACGCACTCACACGCACTCACACACACACACACACACACACACGCACTCACACGCACTCGCACACACACACACACACACACACACTCGCACACACACACACTCTCACACACACACACACAGGTACAGTATGTGGTCGCTCACACGTCTGTGCTGTGCTTGCAGTGGGCTGTGGTTTGCAGATGGACTCCCCAGTCACAATGATATGAGATTTGTCAGAAGACGATGCATACAGGTGAGCAGTGATCCTAACCCTGTGTTTTGCTCGTGTGTGTGTGTGTGTGTGTGATCATGGAATGCTTATTCAGAGTTCTGGTCCTGAACATGAGGACGGATTCTGTGCGACCCTTTTCATGTTGTTGTTCATAGACTCCCGTCAGGCCATGGCAGCATCTAGAGAGGAACCGAGCGCTCTATTTAGGGCAGACGGTGTGCCGTTCTGCGCTTTTCCGTTGGCGCGGCGCGATAACGGGGCCGTTTTCTCGCTCTCCTCGCTCAGGCTTCGGTCCGTTTACAGGCCCGCGCTGCTAACGTCTGTGCAGCTAGCGGCTCGGTAACGACTGCTCGACGCGAGCGATTCGCCGATGATCCGTTCGTTTCGCGCCCAGCATCACAAGCTGTCAGTCTCCGCGCGGCTCCGGTGCCGTTAGCTGGCTAGGCTAACGGTGTTTTGACAGCTTTGATTCTCGTCATGCGCGCGAAACTGATTTACAGCGTCAATTAAAGTCGCGTCGGTGAAAAGTTGCGGGAGTCGGTGGTCTTGTCGACTAGAGCCCGAGCTGATGATGATGAGGGGCTCTTCATCGTGTTTCTGTTTGCTTTATTGTGATCTCACGCGTGTTTGTGTACTGTAAACGCCCGCTGTGTTGATAAGCTGCTCTAAACTGGACTGATTTCACCGCAGATCTTCACCAATGGTTGTGCGAGTTAAAGATCAACTCAACCATCTCAGAAAACGGCAAGACCCTGCTGAGACATCAGGGCTGTTCTCACCTGGAAACCACTCGCGAGTCGCTTCAGGTAACCTCTCACTCACACACTCACACACACACACACACACACAGGTACAGTATGTGGTCGCTCACACGTCTGTGCTGTTCTTGCAGTGGGCTGTGGTTTGCAGATGGACTCCCCAGTCACAATGATATGAGATTTGTCAGAAGACGATGCATACAGGTGAGCAGTGATCCTAACCCTGTGTTTTGCTCGTGTGTGTGTGTGTGTGTGTGATCATGGAATGCTTATTCAGAGTTCTGGTCCTGAACATGAGGACGGATTCTGTGCGACCCTTTTCATGTTGTTGTTCATAGACTCCCGTCAGGCCATGGCAGCATCTAGAGAGGAACCGAGCGCTCTATTTAGGGCAGACAGTGTGCCGGTCGACTATAAATGTTTAAAAATACAGGCTGGGGTCCCGTGGCAGCGTCCGTCTCCGGGGCCGGGGCCCCTCTCTCATACAAACTGATTCCGGGTTCCTCACCAGAGAGCTTTTCTGTCAGCAAATACTGTGTTAAACTGTGCTGGGAAATGTGTCAAAGTGCAATTCAATTTCATGCCTCTTACCCGTTTTCCTATTGGACGGAGCCTCAGAGCTTTGCCCTAGCAACAAAAGCGGGTTATTTGCATACCCTTTCCTGATTGGCTGCCGCTTTAGCCATCCGGCCAATGGCGCGGCATCTTCCTGGTGGTAGGCTATGGTAATGAGGCACTGTTGCTGGGCTTGAGAGCGGTGGTTACCAGTGTGAATGTGCTGCATTGTGTTTGCTGGTGAGAGACGCTGATAAATGACGACTTAATGATCTGCAGATTCCCGCTCGCTGCAGACCGTCACATTTCCAAACATCACATCCATCACAAACGCTCACATGTAGTCTTTATTTGTTCGACGGGCGCTGCTGAAATCCTCAGCTGTCGTCTAGACGTCTGTAGTGTGAAATCATTAGCTCACGCTACAGGTCTGTCATTGCGATCATCTGATTTGAAAACTAGAGACCGTGTTTGTGCGCTCGCTGTTTCTGCGTTTACAACAGAGTTCAGTGTGTGTGTGTGATGCTG